GTGTTCGAAGATATCATGCGACTAGCTTTTTTTCCAGTAGGGTATAAGTTTCTATCCTGGCAGAGGGTATTTATTGGCAATGGCAGCATACTCGAAAAATGTAGAAATTATTCTGATGGCATATGCTACGTTTATTTTTCCCCGCTCTCCGTCGCTCAGTAGGAACTATCTTTTATTTTAATTTCTGCGAAATCACCTTAGTATTATATTGAAAGACGTTTCATAATTACTCTAAAACTTTTGAGAGATGAGTAGGCCTTGTACAGGCGAACTGCACACTCTGTTTCTCTCTGTTCGACCACAGCGAATGTTATATTTCCATGGAGCTCAATCAGGCAGAGTGCTCGGGTCCTTCGTGCGTTTGCTATAGGTGACTAAACAAGGCACGCGCAATTAATTGCACCGCGATCTTTCGTTTTTTTTTTTTTTTTTAATCTTTGCGCGATTGGTTTATTAGGTGACTGCAAAGAAAACGAGCGCCGTGAGAACGCACTTTTGACGCTGCCTGATTGGCTATATCGGATCGCAGCGTCGGCTGCTGTCCGACTTAATGTGTACAGTCGCAACGCTGACACTATGAAGATGTGAAGAATAAGCTCAAGTCATTCCTGTCTTGACCGGTACATGCGTCCGCACGTGCTGGTGCATTCCTATTTTCGTTATCTGTGCATCTCACGCCTAATAACAAGTCGAATAGTCTCGCATATTCTGTTTTCAACTAATGTTACCGATATTTTTCATTGAATTCCAAAAGCGTCAAAACCGCATTGTATAAAACTATAAACCACAGAGTTATTATAATGTGCGCTAGAGGTTCAACTGGCGCTAGTGTCTATGCGTTTTCCGGAAGGCAAATTGAAGCAGACAGCAACCAGTCAACTTTTGCGGTGCTCTTGTGCATTTCTATAGGAAAACGCGCGTGCATTTTATCTCTTCGTCTGAAAATAACATGAATCACTTTTATTATTTCGGTTGTACCGGATAGTATGTACATTTATTAATATTGTAAAAGTGTCATTTCTTTAAATAAAGCATTTTTCTTTACCACTGAACGATGTTAAGCTTCGCTATATTTCAGGCCCAAACCTATGTTCCATGGCAGGTACGTAAAAACGAGCGACGATTCCAAGCAAACTAACGATCGAAAAGAATGTAGGGTGTGTTCAAGGTTCGCTAGCATTGCGGTGGCGCTTATATATTGCTAATATGCCCGTCCTGTCACTCTATGAAAATGACTCCGCTGTGCATCTTTACGGCGGTTAAAAAACATTAGAATGTAAGAAATAAAGTACATGGACTACGAAAGATGTGCCTTTTTATTATTTCCTATGTCGGGCAGTTTTTATCGGGCACCTGTTCTCTGACTTCTCCCTATTCGCAAAGGTTTGGAGCGTGCGGTTGATGATTTGAATCCAGAACATGCATCTTTGCACATATTCATAAGCCGAAAGAATAAAGCAGTACTTATTTATTGCAAAATAGTACGTGGCTTCCAATGTATTTTGATCGCCTGCATGCACAAGGAGTTACTTATCCAGTGTTACAGCGTAGTTCTTGCCGTCTCTCTTGGTTTTCCACATGTCCTTCGTTCATTTGACACGTATATCCCCCATGGTGGAAAGCGCCGAAGCCGTGTTCGCGCTAACGGTGTCCGACAGTGCACATAAACACATGTACGAAGCTGTTTTAGCACCGTTTTTCATGCCCGGAATTTGAAAGAAAAACTCCGTAACTGACCAATTATTTCGCCTGCGTGACTGAGAAATGTTCTAATGTGCCAGTAAGTACGAAATATTCGCGATATTTGCTCTTATAATCGAGCGCAGGGAGAAAATGCAGTCACTTTTTCCCATAGAAATGTATTGGCGGAAGTCAATTTTCAACTGGTTGCTGTCTGCTTCAATTTGCGGAAGCACACTAGCGCCACTTGAACCTCTAGCGTACATTATAATAACTCTATGGTATAACGTATAAAAATCCAACTATTTTTTTTTTAGTCTGCATATGTGCCAACATAATTTTTTTTTTTATTTGAAACGCTGTTGTTTGTACGGACCCCCGGAGACCCTAAGGCTGTAGGTGAGAGCTTGTCGCCTGGGGTGCTCCATTCATGTACTGGAAATAAAAGTGATACGAATTAAATCGAACATCTGAACTTTTGAGATCGAAATGCAGCGGCTCCTCAACATTTCATCGTCTATTGGCGACGTGCGCGATCGAAAGCGTCGCTGTGATCGGCCCTCCACGATTGGCCGAATGCTGACTATGACGTCAGCAAAGGATGTATCATCGACGGAAATAAGAGGAGTAGAAGAACTTCAATTTCGACGGTGTTGGTAGTGTTGCTTTAAAAGCGCAATTATTTCAAGCTTCCACCATGCTCCTTGCAAACACCATCGAACTTGATGTTCGCAAGGCAATGACGTCACGAAAGGTAACCATATGAGGGCGCCACTAAAACATCTCGCCGCTAATAGAAGAGCCGGTGCTCGAAACAGAACACAACCCGGTTAGCAATTTGCATTCGTAATGATGTATTGATAACTCGGGAAGTGCGCTGGACACGTACATTTTGTTATGAAGGTGTGATGAAACAGAGGAGAATTATAATGGCCGGGACGACTTTCCGAATTCCGTTCTATCCAAAAATGAACTTAGAGCCGGTTGGTAAAGGTGATTGGACAAACAAGAAAGAATAAAACATGTAGGGACGAAGACATAGAAAGCCTGAATTCGTTTCTACATATTTTAATATTTCATGTTTTTCAAATCTACGTTCTATAACTAACGTGATCTTAAACACGATCGACATCACGCAAAGTGCTTCCCCAGTAACTGAACTACCTGAATAAAAGGATGGTGACTGATTTAGAGTGCAAGACTCCGATAAGGTCAGGTTAGATATAACATCACACGACTTCGCCGGTACGAGTTCGTTCTAAAACTCCGAAAGACTGGCACTTGTGAATTGACCGATAAAAGCCAAAGAAATGGCGAAGGAAGACGCCACTTACAGAACACAGTGCACTAGGAATTCTACACTGCGCAGAGAATAGCTCTTTTGTTTGTATCCCATGATTCAGAGCGGGATGTTAAGTCAACGCCCTGTTACGAATGTGTGTCACCACGAACGCACATTTCGCGCGCGCTGGCTTTAAGTTACTTGATACACATATCTTTGTACATCAAAAACTGACAAAAAAGCGGCATATATATTATCCGTCTTCGCCCAGTCAGACACATAAATTCCGTACTTATAAACTTTAAACTTAACCTATTTATATGTGAACGAACGGGTGGACATAGTCACAACCACACACCGCAGGCGTGTTCACATCGAGTGACCAGTAAAAAAATACACGTAAACCTAAGCGTAACAAAATACACGCGTCCGCGGTGAGGGACGCATTAACTGTAGATATTGTTAGGAAGGAGAAGACGACGAAGGGGCCGTTGCGTGCACGACAATCTCGCGCAACGCCCAATGTTCAGCTGGCCCTGCCTCAGTGAATCGGTTCTGTTTTCTTTTATCATATTATCATGTCTGCTTCCGAAAGCATCGCCCTAACGATGTAAATATAACATTAACAACACACACACACACGTTCGGATCAAGAAACGCATAAACTGCAGATGTAAACGCGACAGTAATAACACACGCACTTTTGCATCGAGAAATGCTTGAACTTAAAGGGGTCATGAAACGATTTTCCTACTTCTTCATCCTTAGCTTTAATCCTCAACTCAAATGCGAATTGTGAAATCACGTGGTCGTGACATTCCTTCGGCACCGGTGCGATGACTCCTAGCTTCCACCGTGCTTTTTATGCACACCATAGAACTTGTCATTCCCCAGTGACAATAAGTTCCGCCAGGGCACTCATTGGCCATGAACGCGAATCCAAATATTCGTCGACGGACTGATTGTTGACGAGCGCATACGTCCGAGTGACGCAGTTCTCGTGTCCAATCCGTGAGCTGGGCTCTGCTGACGTCAGTGTGGCACCGGTGACGCGCTTTTGGAACCGCGGACGTATCATAGTGAAAAGGCGGAGAGCTTTCGAAGGCAAGAAGGTACAAAATAGTCCGCTATATTTTCAAATGTTCGCACCGAAAAGCTGGCTGTTGACTTTCTAGCCTCTTTCTTTTGGCCAACTAAACGATATGCGATTAGTAAAGTCCCAATTTAAAATAATTCATCCCAAGCCAAAAGTCTTTTCATGGCCCCTTTAAGCTGCAGATATAAACGACCGATACGGTTACAACACACACGAGGGAAAGGCGCAAAAACGGCAGGACAGCTTTGTCCCATCATGGTATAGTGTCTTTTGTGCATTTCGTGAGCTGTCCATCCTCATCATGTCCAACCCAGTGGCCCAATTGCTCACTTCGGTAAAACACAACACAGCCGCGTTCGCATGGAGCGACGCATACACGGAAGATATACCCGTAACTGTAACAACACGAGCGCAAACGAGCAACATACGCGTGCACACGCGCAGCAACACGAGCTCTCACACCAGCAGACAAACTAAAAACCAGCGCACAACGAACGTAAAGCTGCGGTCCCACTGCGTCCTACACAAGACAGTGTGCAGACACTGTCTGAAACGTGTTTCTTCATTCTATGGCGGTCACATTCGACGTGAAAACAGTGTCGGCAGACATGTATCAAGCAAACATGATTCGAACATGCGCGAGGCGTGTGTGCACACACGTGTGTATGTGGCGACACCGGCTAAGCTTACACGGATGCTGCAAAAGAGCAAGGAATCCAGAGGGGAGCGATCACGCGCACCCGATAGTCCTCTCTCTCTCCCTGACTCTTGCTCTTCCGGCCATATCATTGTCATTGTATCTCGATCCGATGTGCTACTATCGCATCCATGTAAACGCAGCGGCCTTAGGGCAGCGCCTCGCATGTGGACGCACACAGAAACTCGTGCGCACAGTTGGCGGCATCGCCGACATCAAAGTTCCCCCGCTCGGGTTCTACAGAAGGAGAGTGAAAGGCGGGCGCGGGAGAGGACGCAGAGAGGACGAGGGGTTGGGGACGCCCTTATGTAACGCTCGCTTTCCTCCTCTCCCCCGGCGGACGAAAAGGAGGAGGAGGAGGCGAAGGGGTGAAGCCCCTCCGCCTCCCCCTCCTCCGTTCAGAGACCGTTCAAAAGCAGAGGACCGCGACCGAGCTGCATCACAACTCGTCCATTATTCTCTCGCATCGGGGGTGCGCGTCCGGCGGAAAAACAAACAAGAAACTTCGACGTTCCGAGATCACCTTTACCTTTTGGGGTCTCCATTTCGGACATAAAGTGTCCGCCTCCTGAGACTGTCCTCTCTATCGAGTGTCCTGTTCGTCTCATCTGTGGCGACGTTCTCGACAGCTATTGAGCGATTCGTCATCCATAACCCCCGTTCTCCGACACGTGCTCAGGTAAGATCTCCTGCATCTATGTTGAATTCGCGATAGACGTCAGGAGCAAAAAACAAACATGCATATATTCATCCTATCGCGGCACACTGTATGCAGTTTTTATTGTTGTTATGCGTAAAACATTTTTATGTTGTGATAGAAAAAAAAGAAGAAAAAAAAAACATTTACACCTCTAGGTTGCGAGACGTTCAATATTAACGGCAAAAATGGTTCGCTGAATTTCCACGAAGTTTCGGATCATTTCATTTGAATTTTTCAATGAATGCCATATTCAGGAAGGAGTCAAGAGGTGTGACACAAGCCCTCTGGGGCCTATCACATTTTGATTGGCTTTGGTTTCGGCCTCTTTTGGGGAAGGGTTAGAAACACCTTAATCGGGAACGCCGTTAGAGTTTCAGCATTTTCTCGCTAGCTTCTACGAGTAACATGTAAGTACGGTAACTGTCAATGATAAGTTATCACAGGGGATGAATTGATTTGAAGGGTTCAGTGCTACCTAGTACAATCCTTCGCGTTATCTTTTATCAAATAAGTATCAGATTTTTTTTTTTTTTGCAACTGAGGTTTTGAGTTTGCTGATTGCTCTCTACAAAGTCAAAATTAAATTTTGTCTATCTCCTCAATGGTTCGTCTGTTAAAGACGTTATATTATACCGTGCATAAATTATCCCATATTTAGTTCCTATCCTGCAACAAGGCCGCTGAATTAAGTAGGATCGTTCACGCGTATTTTCTTGTGGAGTCATCCCGCCTAATTGGATCATGAATGTACGCGGTGATGACTAACAGATTCGAATGATATACTCACGAAGTAAGTATTGAACTATAGACTGAATACGATAAAATACCTTCGGAACACTACCATTCTCTCCGTGATATCATCCTGTCTATAAACGGAAATAGCGATTATATCAGTGATGTCGTCACAAGCTAGACATTGTATAATGCTTGCGACTCACCTTTTCAAAGAATTTGCTCGAATCCAGGAAATAGTTCGAATACCTATTGGATCAGTACCTTATCCTAGGGCCGGACGGGTATTCCTATGATTTCGAGAAAATGGTAGTTTTCGTTTGACGCCTAGCTGCTCCCACATTAGCTCGTAGCTTCGAGAAGTACAGTCGTGGCCAAAGCAAAGCAGAACGTCGTTCTCACTTGTTAGCCTCCCCTCTAGCGACATTGGAGTGCTTTCCGGCGAGATTTGAATAGTCGCTCTTTTGTGTCAAAAATGGTTCAACAGATTAATAGACAGACAAATTATTCTGACAAGTCAAAATAATTTATTTCGCCAGGTTATTAAAGTTTGGAAGTTGGTCTGAGAGGATGAGTAGCTCTACTGGCAACATTAAAAAGTTGGCGTGACATATTTCCTATGCCATCTGGCGCAAGCTACCGCCTGTTATAAAGAGTACGACCATGTTGATCCGTCTATTCGTTCATATATGTTGTATTATGGGGAAATACGGAGGCCTACTGCGGATGGATTACAAGAAGTTTGATGGTGTCAAATTAGTAACAATTAAACTCATGCCAGCAAAAAAAAAAAAAAAACGTAGACAGAATTTGTTTTTTTTCTTTTTGACGGTTTGCTCGGCTTACAACATGTGGCGTCACCCAAATAGAGAGCGTGGAAAAATTTTAATATTGGTTTCTTGGTTTAGACATCACCTGCATTTCAATTTTTTTTTTCAATACCTATTTTGAATTAAAAAAAAAATAAACAGGATGCCGGAAAGAGTAACGCCAGGATAATCCACAAATATTTGAATTTGAATTTGAATTTATTTATCTCTCAACATTACATTGTGAGATGGGACGCAAGGAAAAAAGCTGCGTGGTGCAGCTTGATTTAATTTGGGCAGTTTCAAAAGCCGCCAGAGCTCCCGTTTAAGTAGAACATGCATCTGTGGGGAACTCTTTTTTTTTTTTTTTTTTTATACTTGCTCAAATCATACGTGGATATATTGCAGGTACCACAACAAATTCGCGTTACTGAGCGTGGAAGCGTCCTACTGTTCCGCTATTTTTTTTTTTTTTTTTTTTGTTTAGTACGATTTTAGTGAACGCCTTTCAGAGAGCAAGGCCGGAGTGCTGAAGTTTCTGCGTCACCCGCAAGCGGCCAACGCGGGGCAGCAATTGAGATTCGGCGTGAATTCGTGTTCAATAAACGTGAACACGAATCCCACCCGAACACTGATGTCACGCTCCTGTCCCATATGTAGACCGCGCTGGCTCCCGGTTGGTGGCGTCATAAATCTAGGACTTGGGTCTTGTTAGCTATCAAGGTGTCGTTCTAGCTTTATCGCAACAATAGATCCTGCGATTGGGGCAGGCGACGATGCCAACCCCCCCCCCCCCCTTTTGAGCGTCGCCGCATTCTCATTTTGAAACAGGTGTATTATAAACGTTAATTGCTTAGGAGGTTAAAGCTTGCAAGAGAGATCGTATTTGAACTCCAAGCTGCGCCGTAAGCACGCCGTGAGGTAAAATGTCGCTTACACGTATCGATGCTGGGGACGACAAAGGAGCCGCTTTCTGTTGGGGGACAAAACACCCGGAAACAAAGCACGGAAACGGAACAACTTACAAAAAATTAGGGTGAAAACGAGCTGGTGAAGGCTTAACGTAATTTAGGACAAACCCCCGAGACTGGGGAAAAGACGAAGGACAACACAACACTGTATGTTGTGTTGTCCTTTGTCTTTTCCCCAGTCTAGGGGGTTTGTCTTAAATTATGGACAACTCAGCTCAGACGAAAATAATCCCCGGAAAGGGGGAACAAGAGGGGCAAAGGACAAACACAAATCTCAAAGCATAGCTAGGTGACTGGTGCGCGACCGAAAAAATCCGCCTGGTCCTGGTATCGAACCAGGGACCTCTCCATTCCACACTTATCTCTCTCTCTCCAGTGGAGCGCTTTACCAACTGACCTGACCAGGAGTTAGACGTCAGTAGAGCAAACGGGTTTTTTCTGCTGCCACCAGTCTAACACTAAAAACTGTGGACGGCTTGCATTTTAAGGTTGTGATGACAACGCAATTAAATTGTCCACTAGAAATGGAGAGGTCCCTGGTTCAATACCAGGAGCAGGCGAATTTTTTCGGCGGCTCACCAGTCACCTATTTGTGTTTGGAGATATGTGTTTGTCCTTTGTCCCTCCTGTTCCCCTTTTCCAGGGATTATTTTCGTCATTCTTGTCCAGCTCGCTTGCACCTTTGCATGTAATTGCATGATCAACTTAGCTGTTACGGCGAGTCTTCCGACAATGTCGACTGCTCATATGGCGTTAGGACTGAACTCTATGCATTGTTTCGAAATTAGTAAAGATTTACCAATACAGTTTTTTTCTTCAATTATAATAAAATACGATAGAGCCCGCGATAAATCCAACAAAAGTGGACCTTAATGCCGGCACGAAATAAAAATAAATCGAAAAACAAAACGGGGCGCTTCTTTAGATTTGGTAGAAATGAGAATCCAAAAAGTTCTCCCTTATTTGAACTGTTCCTATTTTTTTCTCGCGAGTCACGGTCTTCTTCATTTTTTTTTCTTTCAACAAGAGAGAGCGGTACAGGGAAAGAGAAAGAAAAAGAGAGAAGGGTGGAGATCAGCGGCGTAAGATACGTGCAATTCATGATAGAAAGTGCATTGGCATTAAGGCGCCTGGTTCTGGAAGTAACTCTCATGCATCTTGTATGTCCAAGAGTGCAGAGAGCGAAATAATTCCTCGAGTCTGAGGCTGGAAGTAATGACTAGTTCAGAAGGCAGTTCAATATGACACAAAAAGTAAGAACTGTAGAATAGCAATACTAATCTTGTTTTTTCACAACATTAGTTTCCCTGGTTATAAGACCAGGACCGTCGAAACACTGGACACATGGGACACCCATCAACCAATGAATCAAACAATCGTACCTTATTTTTTTCAAGGTGTGAAGCAACTCTCCTTGAAAGGTCCAAATGTGAAAAAGGGCAATCAATGTCCCCTGGCACGTAGCCAATGGCTAACATCGCGGGCAAAGTCCATCACCAGACAATACGTCCAAACAAACCACACAAAAGCACAAATGCAATTTCTTGTACATTACCAGCAAAAGCAACACGGCACTATAGTGACAGAAATTCAAAAAGAAAAGCAAGAAAACTAAAATACACATGGATACAGACATCGCCCGGCGATGTCAGCTAGAGCGGTTTATAGCTAACTTAAAGCACGAACAAAAAGACTTAAAAAAGCGAGTGCTTTAGTTTTTAGATTAAAAAAAGGTAATGGGGAGAAAATATCTCATAAATTGCAGGTCATAAAGTAAAACTAGTCACGAAGCACACACCAAATTGGATTTAGAAATACAGGCGGAAAGGTGATATTGTGCAAAAAACAAACAGGAAGAAGCCTTTTACTTAAATATAAAAAAAAAGTTTTAAAAAATCTTGCAATATTTTTATTATTTATTTCTGACAAGATTTTTGTAATGTCTTAGGTTTCTAGACATATGCTGCATTACGTCAGGCGGCGTACGTGATGCTGATGACATACCCACGTACGTTAACGAAGAAGAAGAAAAAGACATGACAGTTTAGGGAAAGAAAACTAATATAGTACCAGTCAAATCGATAACATTATTATCAACAAGTATGACTCAAATTATTATTAGTGTTTTTATATATATATATAGTGCGAAGAAAACTGCAGCGCTGACACCTGGAAGACAGTAGGTGAAAGCAGAGAGGAAAACAAATATTGAAGGTACCATTGTAAGCGTAATATTATGGCTATATCTGTAAATCAATGAGTCTTGCAAAAAGACTGTCACAGCTTAATTTCTTGACCGACAATTTGCATACGCAAAATTTTAGTATCTTCACCGAACATCTATTTATTTTTATTTTAGCGGCAACTTGGTAACTTTACCAAGAAATTGAATAGACAAGAATAACACCAATATTCCCATTTTGTTCTGGAAGCTCCTTTTGTATAAATGACGCCGGAGGGCTTTGAA